GCCAGGCCGATGCGCGATGAGCTCGACCCGGGCACGCGTTCGCAATCTCCCGGGCCCGGCCCGCTGCAGGCCTTGCACTTGGCATCGCAGCGGGCACACACCGGCACCGGGGCCTGGTCGTCGGGGAATGTGCCAACCGGGCATGCCGGCACGCATGACTGGCCGTCCAGCAGCAGCAGCCCCGGCACACAGCGGGCGCAGGACCCGAGCGGCGCGCAGACCAGCAGCCCGCCCGGGCCCGGGGCACAGTCCGGTTGCTGTTGTTGTTGCTGTGAGCCGGCCTGGCAGGCATCGCACTTGTCCGGGCAGGCCAGGCAGATGCCGCCGGACGGCGCATGGGCCGGGGGGCAGGAAGATACGCATAGGCCGGCATCCGGCTGCAGGAGCCCCTCGGTGCAGGAGGTGCATGTGTCCTCGGCGCTGGCGCACGTGCGGCAGGGGGCGCGACAGGCCAGGCAGGCCGGCGCGTCCCCGGGGGGGAGGAACTCCCCGGCCGGGCAGGACCCCATGCACCGGCCGGCCGACAGGACAAAGCCCCCGCGGCAGGCCGTGCAGTCGGGCTCGCACGAGTCGCGGCGCGAGTCGCACGCCGCACAGTGGTCCGGGCAGGCGATGCACCGGCCGGAGGCGACGCATACGTGGGTCCCCGGGGGACAGACGTCCACACAGGCCCCGGCCGGGTCCAGGAGCTTGCCCGGGGCACAGGAGGTGCACATGCTCGGCGAGTCGCACGTCAGGCAGGTGGCCTGGCAGGGGCGGCAGGCGCCCTCGTCGGCAAAGAACCCGCCCGGACAGGCCGCAAAGCAGGTGCCATCGTGGAGAACGCGGCCCATGTGGCAGGCGGTGCAATGGGTGGAGCTGGGCCCCGAGCAGGCGGCGCAGGCGGTGCTGCATGGAAGGCAGATTTGCTCGCTCCGGTACATGCCCGCCGGGCAGACGGCATGGCAGCTGTTGTTCACAAGCAGCGGGGAGCTCGCACTGCAAGACAGACATTGGTCCGACTCGGGACCGTAGCAGGTGGTGCAGGTCCCATGGCAGGTGGTGCACAGTCCGCCCTGGGGCGAGGATCCGACCGGGCAGGAGGCCACGCAGCTCGGCACGTCCAGCAGCCACCCGCGCTCGCACAGGGCGCAGGTGGCCGCGCTCGCCGGGCAGCTGGCGCAGTGGTCGCCGCACTTGGCGCACCCGGCCGCGGTGCGGGTGTGGCCCGCCGGGCAGGCCGGCACGCAGCGCATGGGCGACTCGCCGGCCGGCAGGGCCAGCAGCTCGCTCGGGCAGGCCGGCAGGCACTCGGTGCTCCGGGTCCCGGCGCACTGGTCGCACGACGCATGGCAGGGCAGGCACCGCCCGGCCAGGGCCACATGCTTCGCGGCGCAGTGCTGCACGCAGTCGCCGTCCTGCAGCACGCCGCTGGCGCAGCGCCAGCAGTCCTTGTCCGACGGGCCATTGCACGTGGCGCACGCCGCGTCGCATGGCAAGCAGTCGCCGGAGACACGGTCCCGGTACTGGCCCTCCGGGCAGCCCGACACACATGTGCCGGCCGAGGCGCTGGGCGGCACGAAGTCCAGCCCGGCCGCGCAGCTGGCGCACTGGTCGGCGGCGCCCCCGACGCAGGTGGCGCAACTCAGGTCGCACGGCTGGCACGACTCGGCGTCGGCGAAGGTCCCATCCGGGCAGGTGCTCACGCAGTCACCGTGTGAGTCGAGGAAGAGCCCCGGCTCGCAGGCCAGGCACCGGTCGGCCGTGCACGAGGCGCAACCCGGATCACAGGGGACACACTGGCCCGTGGCGCCGGCTGCCGGCGGGGTCCCAGCCCACCGGTGTCCCGGGCCGCACACCTGGCACCGGTCGGCTGCACCGACGCACAGGGCGCAGGAGATGTGGCACTCGGTGCATCGGTTGGGCCCGACATACTCGCCCGGGGGGCAGGTGCTCGCGCACAGGGAGGCCACCTGCGGGTCGGGCTGCAGGAACACCAGCCCCGGCCGGCAGGTGGCGCAGGTGCCGGCCTCGGCACAGGTGCCGCACGAGCCGTCGCAGGGCAGGCATGTGCCCGAGCCGGGGGGCAGGAAGTGGCCCGGCTGGCAGGCGGAGCACATGTTGGCCGAGGAGCAGGACGCGCAGCCAGCCGGGCAGGGGATGCACCGGCCGGACCAGGTGTCGGCCCAGAAGCCCGACGGGCAGGCGGAAACACACTGCTCGTCGATGGTCAGGAAGTGCCCAGGAACGCATGTCAGACAGATGTCCATCGTGCAAGAGGCACAGCCCACATCACAGGGAAGGCATGGGGCCGTGGCACCAGGGCCCGGAGGGGCGGACGCCCAGCGGAAGCCCTCGCTGCACTGCTCGCAGGCCGCTTCGGTCCCTTGACACAGAGCACAGCTTTCATCGCACTCGGTGCACCGCGTGGCCCCGGCGAAGAGGCCCGGCGGACAGGCACTCCCACAAAGAGAAGCGGCCAACGGGTCGGGATCCAGGAAGACGAGCCCCGGAGCGCAGGTCATGCAGCTGGTGGACTCGGCGCAGGAGCCGCACGAGGGCGAGCACCCTTGGCACACGTCCGAACTCGAGGGCAGGAAGAAGCCAGTTTGGCAGGTGGAGCAAATGCGGCCGGAGATGCAGGTGGTGCAGCCATCCGGGCAGGCGACACACTCGTTCGAAAGGATGTCACCCCAGTAGCCCGGCTGACAGTCGGTCCTGCAGGCCCCCTCATCGAGGAAGGATCCCGGGAGACACCGGGTGCAGGCCGTCGGGTCCTGCGCCACCAGGCACTCGTAGCACTGGGACGAGCAGGGGTAGCACCGCTCCGGCGTGGCGGGATCCGAGGCGCGGGCGTATCCCTTATTGCAGCGGATGCACTCGTATCCGCCGCCCGGCGTCTCGATGGAGCATGTGGTGCAAGTTTCGTGGCATCGGCAAATGCGACTCGAGTCAAGGGTCAAGCCGAGGGGGCACTCGGCCAGGCAGTTGAAGGGGTCGAAATCGAGGGCCGCCTGGCAGGAGGTGCAGGCCGCCGGCCCGGGGCCCGTGCACTCGAGACAAGCCGGGTCACAAGGGTCGCAGCCCGGGCCAAAGGTGCCGGGCGGGCATTCCGACAGGAAGTCCATCCGAGAGATGGAGCTGTCCACGTTCGAGGAAATCAGCAACGACAGCATGAGGTTCGGCGGGTCGTCGTCGGTCGGCGGGCTGGGCCGCACCACGACCCCGGTCCACCCCGGCGCAAGCAGGGTGTTGGGCTGGATGTAGACGCTGGCCGGGACAAAGGCGCATGGGGCGCCGGCGCCGGGGCACCGCAGGGGAGCCACGGCAAAGACGTCGCTGGACGTCAGCAGCAAGGCGGACGGGTACATCGGATGCGTGAAGAGGTCGATGGCCCGGATGGACAGCGAGACCAAGTCCGGCAGGGTGGTCCATCGGGTGAGGACCTGCGGCGCCAGCGGCATCTGGCGATTCCGGTTCCCGGGGATCAGCCCGCGTGGCAGGATGGCCGCCTCCCAGGTGCTGTGGCCGCGGAAGGCCGTGACCACCAGTTCGAACCCGGCATCGGGGGCGGTGCCCGTGCGGAGGAGAACCACTGTGCCGGGGCTGCCAATGGGCTGCCAGGCCTGGCTTTCGAGGGCCGCATGTCGGGGATCATTCATCGGCATGTCGGTCGGGAAGAAGGTTCCCATGCCATCCCGATCCATCCATAGGGTCCATCTGAATGGGCCGATCGATGGCTCCATAGAGAAGTGCATGTCGGCGAGCAGCGGAGCCAGACTGCCGGCTGGTCCCTCACGGACACTGAGAGCTCCACCGTCCAGGAGCTCAAGCAGGAAGGACATGCCGGTGGCCGCCTCCAATGCCATATGCCGAGGGCCCATACGCCGGGCGGCCCGGCAATTGCCGATCAGTGAGGGGATGTCTCGCGCATTGTTGATGAAGCAGGCGTCCGAGGGGCTGCCATTGTTGGCGACTGGGCAGTGGATGGTGAAGTACCCCCCGCCATTGTGGTCGCTGCAAAAGGCCACGCCCATGATGGCATGCTTGCTGTACAGGACAGGGCCGATTTCCGCGTAGAAAGTGATCTTCTGGATGCCAGGGCTTGTGAGGAAGTCGACCGCCGGGGTGGCTGGCAGGTCTTTGGGCTGGCCGTTCGAGGCACCTGGGGCCAGGTGAACGGGGCCCGCCTTGCTGAAGAGCAGGAGTCCAGCGCGCGGGGAGCCCGGGTTCTGCATGGCCCTGGGCAGGAGAATGGCCGAGCCAGCCACACTGCCAGCCACAAGGTGGGTATCGCTTACCGTGATGACCTGAGCAATGCCGGGGAAGGATTCCATCTGGTTGCCGGATGTCGTGAGCTCCGGGCTCGGGGCTGTGTGACAGGCCCCGGCCAATTCATGAAAACCCGGCGAGCAGGTGACCACACACTCGATTTGCCCATTCGGGCCGCTGGCCTGCGGCAGAAGTCCATCCATGCAGACAAGACAGCCGTCTGGCAGGCATGTCTGACAGCCGGGCATACAGAGGATGCATTCCCGGGAGGCTGGTAGCCAGGGAGGCCCGGGCCCCGGGACGGGGTCACACGCCAAGGTTAGGGGACGCGGGCAAGGGCGCAAGTAAAAATGGGGAGATGGGAAGAGAGGGGGGGAGATGGGAAGAGAGGGGGGGAGATGGGAAGAGAGGGGGGGAGATGGGAAGAGAGGGGGGGGAGATGGGAAGAGAGGGGGGGAGATGGGAAGAGAGAGAGGGAGAGAGGGAGAGATGAAGAGAGAGAGAGAGAGAGAGAGAGATGCAGAGCCAGAGGCACAGCCAGAGGTAGAGGCAGAGAGGGAGAGAGAGAGAGAGAGAGAGAGAGAGAGGAGCACATGTGGCCGGGGCACGCACAGGAGTCGCGGTCGAGATAGCGGCCAGCCGCGCAGCCAGCACAAAGACGGTCATCCTCCACGAAGGGGCTGGTATCGCGGCCGAACTTGCACAACCAGCCATACGTGGTCCGGTCGGTGAGAGAGGGCTGGTCGCACTGAATGGTGGGATCGGTATGGCAGCCGAAGGCCACCTCATCCCAAAGAGCTGCACCATTGACGATCAAGGTCCATTCCAGGCCGCGAGTCGTGTCAAGGAGCGCCAAGTAGGCGCTGGAAAGTAGACCGGCCGCCAGCGAGGGGGGAATAACCCGGCGCCAAACAAGCCCCCCGGGGAGGCTGACCTCGGCCCGCCAGAGGGAGCTTTCCGGGCCATCAACATCCAGGTAGTAGAGAAAGGGGAGAAGCTGCCTCATGGACTTGAGCCCGGGATTGATGAAGCGGCCATTGGCTGACGCCTCGGGGGGAAGTCGCCCGGTGATGGTATCCACCGGGCCATTGGCAGCGTCAAAGCAGACCTCCACCCGGACCGAGGCATCGTCAAAGAGGAAGACCAGGTCCCCAGCCGGGCAGGCCGCGGGCAGGGACAGGAGCCGGGTGGCCACCATGTCGAAAGCCGCCCGACTGAGGGGGAAGTCCTGGATGAGCACCTGCGACGCACTGTCCAGGGTCACATGGCTGAGAGTCGTTTCGGAGGCGAGGAAGAAGGACCGCCCCGGGCCGGGGGTGCCGAGGGCCGGCCAGGATGGATCCAGCGTCCGGGGTACCTGGTGCGAAGTCAAGCCCAGGGTGGCATCCACCTCCACGTAGAACACCAGGTGCGGGACCCCGGAGCTGATGCCACGGGTGCTGATGAGAATGTCCACCAGGTTTGGAGAGCTCGCGGCCGAGGCCAAAAGTTCCTGGAACTGAGGCCCCGGGAGGCTGTGCACCTCGTTCGCCTGAAAGAGGCCCACCTCGGTGGAGGACATCTCCAGGATGGCCGGGATCACGACGCTCTTCCGATCTGTAGAACACCAGGTGCGGGACCCCGGAGCTGATGCCACGGGTGCTGATGAGAATGTCCACCAGGTTTGGAGAGCTCGCGGCCGAGGCCAAAAGTTCCTGGAACTGAGGCCCCGGGAGGCTGTGCACCTCGTTCGCCTGAAAGAGGCCCACCTCGGTGGAGGACATCTCCAGGATGGCCGGGATGTTATATCCCTCCGCCGGGAGGATGACCTTCGTGGCGATGGGGCCGAGCTCGCCCCGGGGGCTGGACACCTGGAGGTAGTGCTCCGGGGGGATGAACAGGCCGGTGCGAATTTCCCGGCTGATAGACAGCCACAGCTGCTGCTGATAGAGCGAGTAGGACCGGCTGCCGTCGGGGCCGATCCAGT